TGGCCAATCCCTTATTTCGTTTTAATTTCCTCGACTCTCTATTGTTTACCGGCTGCCTTTGGGTGCTAGGTGTAACATCCTCAATGCGTTGAAGTTGACTTCGGATTACCCGCGCAATCTTCCAATACACGTATACCATCGTCATCAAAGCTACTCCATACGTTCCTGAAACAACGGAAATTGCGAAAGCGAAGTTTAATCCATACCTGGACCAATCTTCTACCCAATATAGGTAACAAAGCACTCGTATGAGCTCACTCCAAATAAGGGCAGGAATGCCCAAACGGCAGAGTATCCCCACAAGACAAAACACAAGCAAATGGCGCGCGACTTTGTCATCTCAAGCGGATAAAACAGTGGACGAGCGACTGCCAGGTATCGATCAATGGAAAGCATCATCAGGTGCATTATGGACGAAATGCAAAAGAGAAAGGTTGAAAACCCATTACAAACGCCCCATATCTTTCCACATCTCCACCAACCGCTGTGAACAGCATCCACAGCGCACGGCATTACAAGTATGGCCACAAGTAGATCCGCAATCGACAGAGAAAACAAAAAGTGAGAGTTGACGATGGAGTTGAGAGCCCTTGAGTAACGAAGTACAATCATAACAGTAATATTTCCGATCATTGTCAAAGCAAGAACAAAGATCATTATGATCATAATGAGAATAGTCCAGCCGTGAGGTAGATTAACAAGCTTGACGTTGTCTTCACTTTCGGTAAAGTTTTTTACCATTACTGTCCCGTTCATGACGTCTCCTGTTAAGAAAATGTAGATCGAAATAATTTTGGTCATAGGCTATTAATGCACGTCAAGTATGTTGACTTTGCAAATATACAATTGATTTTTAACCAACAAACTAGATCACGAAACACATCACCATGTACCAATCATGCCATGATAATTTCCAAACGCGTATAGAAATAGACCCTTAGCGCAAAAAAATGTACTTTTCTGAAACAACTTAAGTCATTTTATTGGTACTGCATCAACCCTCCTTTTAGAAAACAACAAACCTCGTTATGAAACATATCAAAAATTAATGTCGTTAGAGACTGTTTACAAGAGTAGATTTAGCAATGAAGCCTTCCTCCTCAGTAATTTACCGGTTTACTTAGAAGCACTAGCAAAAAACAAAGAAAAGAGAGGAGCGCAGCTTTCCCGGGAGTAAAGTTATTTTAGAAGGGGAAGCAATGATTTTGGTGAAAAACGAGTTTTAAAAGCGAAGGCCTTAGATATTACGTAATGTTTCACTAAACCATCTTCGCCTAGTCGGCTACACAGACAGCAGCATGCTCCATGATCTGAACTACCTCAAAAGGTCCTGGCTGAGCAAACTGATTTTAGGGGTAAGGTCGATCGGAATGAAAAGACTCGCAAGATTGTCCTTTGAAGAAAATTTTTGTCACCTACTCATTCACTTCCTCACGTTTTCAATCAATACTTAACGAGTTTATTTATAGCAGCGTTTTGTACCATCTTGAAATATTATCCATATTTGCATATTAACTTAGAAAAGTTTATCTACCAAACTGAATTCTTCATCTGCCGTTTTTTCTGGATTTAAAAAGTTATAATGACGTTGACTCGGAAACTTGAAAAGTTAAAGGCTTTCAGGAAAATAATCGAAAAATTTATAAATGCAACATTTATCGGACATTTTTTCCTAGATTCAGTGATTAAGATGATAAACTTCGATATATCATTGAATGAGAGAAAACTTTTTGACCACATTTTTACCGGCCTTTTTACCTTAGACTCTAAGAAATCGTGACTAATCGTTCAATAAAATTGAAAGTTTAAATATTATCTCGTAAATAATTAATAATAGTCTATCCAAGAAAGCTAAAGGTATCATGGAGGAAAACACGAAATTATTATTATTATTATTATTATTAATTAGTGCCTGAGAAATATTGGACTACTAAGTAAACTCAAATGATTATCTCGGTTCTTGTCTGCACATTTATAGACAGCGGACAGCTACAGCTATCATATATAAAACTTAAAAGTGAACGAGAGAATACGAGTGAACTTACATATCAACTAAACATTACAGCAGATGGTTTAAACATGTCAAATGTTGATTGAAGCAGGTGCTCAACGGAGCTGACAGAAAGTGACAATTATTTTTCCCAAATTTACATTGCTTCGAACTCTTCCGAAAACTGATATGAATCTAATGGCAGATTTGAGGCTGTTGAGATATCTGGCGATGTCACTGAACATAAAAAATCCGGTATCTTGAAAACAAGCTTGAATATCAATGGCGTAGATGTTTTCAGATACATTCTTTGTACCGTTCTAGTTGGAATATAAGGACCCTTTAATCCGGCTGACTAGTCTGGTTTCACTTATCACATCTCTCTACGAAACTTTTCTGATAATATTTACGTTCCCAAACATTTTTTCGTCGATACAAGTCAGCCTCGGCAATAGCAGTTATTTAGGTCTGCCAGTAACCTGTAGCGCACGTTATGCAATTATTCAACTTTGAACTGAAGTAAGGTTTACGAAACGAAATTCAAATGTCTTCAAGAAATTAAGAAAAACTTTACCTTAAGAAAGGAAGGCCACAGTGAAAATCGACAGCAGGTACCAAAAACTTAAATTTCTCCTTAAATCCAATTTCTCCTTAAAAAAACAATTGAGCAACTCGAAGTTACAGTGAGTTAAGAGTGTCTTATCTGCCACATGAAGTCTCAAACTGTTTTCATTTTTTCCAGGTGTCCTTCTTCTTATTATGGACAGAGCAATGATGTTGAACTTTTTATCGTTGAACCGCGGAATTTTACAAGCTATAGTGAAATACAGCTATATTTTGCTTTTAACTCGTTTGATAGGTACGGTCTAGAGCGACTTCCTATTTACATCTAATTGAATAGCGTGGGCGACACAAACTCACCTACTAATTGGCTAGAGGCTGAAAGATGACAGCCATTAAAAAAAAACAAAAAAAAACTAGCTAATTAGTTAATAAAACGGAGAGCTGTCTTCCTCTACCAGTAATAACATTTATAAACCGGAATATGTTTGAAACACACCACCACCTAATGAGTTATTACAACGTAGTGTCGTCTTTCAAAGCTAATAATAAGCCAGAATAGATTTTAGCCAAACGGCCTCGAAGGACCTCGTAGGACAGGTGAGAAAGATGGGCAGTAATCCTCTTTTTCATAAAATGGTTGTTTTGAAACAGACTTGGATCAAAGGATCGATGCAAAGCGCGCCCTCGTCGGCTTAAAAAGCGCAGCCTTAACTGAGTTTGAGACAATTTAAGCCGATGAATGACGGACAAGTCTCTAGCTTACTTAATTGCATGTTGACGAGCCTAAACAAAATTGAATATTTATACAGTGGTTCTGAAGAAAAACTTGAAAAACTACTCTGAATTTGGCAGTGATCGTAGACAAAATTTACATTACTTTATACAGGTTGAAAAACTCGAAATAGACAAACTCAACACAATGAAACCAAGCAGAAAAACTAAACAAAACAATAAAACGAAACAAAAGTGAAAAAAGAAATGAATAGAGAGAAATGGGTCTGAACGGACAGGATTAACCTGGATTATACGGCGATGTACCTCAACTAGAAAATTAATTTCCATCGTACTGCAAGCCGATCAAAAATCAACACTAATCAACAGAACCAATATTGCATTTCGGGCCCGTCTAAAGTTCCGAAAAGAGGGAGATCTATCCTTATTTCCTTGATAACGATTGTTTCCTGCGTGACACTTAAAACACGCTTGTAAGATAGTGACTTTCCACAGGCGTTAAGTTTGAAGTTATATTTAGAACCAGTATTTGTTATTCAGATAACTAGTAACGCACTGTGCATTTTTAACTGTAAGTATTCTTGATCAGTTTTGCGAACTTAAGGCCTCCTTGAGGAATGAAATGTGTTTCTAGGCTTTCCAAGACCTTTTCTAGCCATTTCAGGCCTATTTTCGCTATCTAATATTCAATTCAGATGGTTTGCAAGACTATTTCAGTTTCAAGTAGTAGCAAAACCCTTTAAGTGACAGAGTTGTGTACTGAGTCCCGAGCGAATCGATAAGGAACTGCATCATCTCACTATAGAGTTCATGAAGGATTGAGGCCGGACGTAATTTTCTAAGGGATTTCTTTCCCCTATAAGCAACAACGATTACAGTATAAATCACTACTTGAACGTCTTATCTTATCGCACTTTTAGCAGAGGAAAACCAAACTTAGGGACTCAATGGGATGATAGCTTTAACGGATTGTAATTAATTTTTTTTCCAGTTTTGACAGTTGGCAGTTAGACTCTGTGGCGTTCGGCGGTTGATGATTAATATTGAACAATTTCCTCTTGATTTAAACAATTGGAACTTTTAACAGTACCTGTATTTAATTTTTAAACAAAAATGCGGCTGAATAAAAATGTTTTTTGGTCTTGTCATTAGCGTGGGACGAAGAATTTATCTGAGTTCCCACAAGGAACCGAACTTTGCACTTCAGTACCCTACTGAGCCAAAGAGAACTGTAAAGAGTACTATCGGCCTATTAAGACACTCCAAACAGTGTTCCTAAACGAACTAAAACGCGATCCATATGCCATAAAAACAACGATACAACAAGGTTCATTGTAATTCAGTATTTTCACGAAGTTGTGCATTCGAAAAAACTGTTGAGTTCCTTTACAAACCATTTTCAATGGCGTCTTCGTAACACAAACTTCAGGCCATAGGCAGGAGTCATGTTCACGGTCACCTCATGTTCTAGGCTTGGGCTGCCTGTGGTCCAAAATGTTCGTTACTATCATTGACAAATTTAAAAGGGGGATATATCATGAATTACGCCAAGGTTTGCTGTTCGATCACTCTCGAGTAAAACAGCAATATTTTACGAGAACGGTAATTGAGTGAAACCTGCAATAATGAAACAGTCATTAGTTTGTCTAAATCGTGTGCGTTTAATAGTTTCTATTCAATGATAAGAAAATATTGTTTAGGAGAGTGTCAGTGATGAAAATCATTGCTTGTAGTGGAATTGCCTTCTCTGAGTTATTTGTGTCAATATTTGAGCAATAGGTAGCATGAAAACAACGTCGAGTCTGTTACACAGCCCCTCTATGTTGTATTTATTTACTCATTAAAAAGCAAATTCAACTTTAAGAGGCGGGTTATTAAATTGGCACGGTCATCGTGTTATATCGTGCAAAGTTGCGAGCAGGATCTTATCACGTTCCTTTGTTCCTACCGTGCGAAACAAGACAATGACTGCGAAGTTCATGAGGCAAGTAAATAAAACGCAGCTAACGTGTTAAAAGCTCGTTCTTTGTCGTGAGGGTGCGTTCACCTTATTCCCTGAAATCCTGTGGAGGGTCACATTTAGAAAATAATCGTTGAAAATTTATGAATATCGAATGTCGAGCTCTTAAAATGATCTTGAACTTGCTCTTTTATAACTTTTTAAACGCTTGATTCTCTTCTTCCTAAGGTTTGAACTCTCTTGACAGTATACTCTTGAACCATGGAAGACATTCCAGCGTTATTAGTAGCTGAAAATTTCAATACGAAGTCAGTCTTGCCAATCATGCTTAACACAGCCCTCCTAAATCTCCGGTATTTTATGGAATAGATGATAGGGTTACAGCAACTGTTCGTAAATCCAACGAGCATTGCTACGGCGCCATACGGTCCTTGGACCTTTCGACCAGTTCCAATCTCAACGAAGAGCAAGATACAAAATGGTGACCAGCATATGAGGTACACTAAAGTTACTATCATTAAAGTAACCACTCCTTTACTTCTTTTAAATTTCCCAGTCGTATTATCCTCTTTGTTATAAACTGTCTGCTTTTTGTTGTTATTTCTAACAACCTCAATACGTTGAAGTTGACTTCGGATTACCCGCGCAATCTTCCAGTATACAAAAACCATCGTTATTAAAGCTAGTCCGTAGGTTCCTGTAACAACGGAAATTGCAAAAGCAAAGTTTAACCCATACCTGGACCAGTCCTCTGGTTTACATGTGCCAATGTAGTTAATGAAACACTCGTAGGAGCTCACCCCAAATAAGGGCAAGAAAGCCCAAACGGCAGAGTACATCCACAGTACAAAACACAACCAAATGGCGCGCGACTTTGTCATTTCAAGTGGATACAACAGTGGACGAGCGATTGCGAGGTATCGGTCAATCGAAAGCATCATTAGGTGCATGATCGATGAGATGCAAAAAAGAAAGTTTCCAAACCCGTTACAAATGCCCCATATTCTTCCACATCTCCACCAACCGCTGTTTACAGCGTCCAAAGCGCACGGCATTACAAGAATGGCCACAAGAAGATCTGCAATTGACAGAGACACTAAAAAGTAGGAGTTAACGATGGAGTTGAGAGCGCTTGAGTAACGAAGGACAATCATAACAGCAACATTTCCAACGATTGTTAAAACAAGAACCAAGGACATAATGATCATAATGAGAATAGTCCAGCTGTGAGGTAGATTAACGAGCTTGATGTTGTCTTCCCTCTCGGTAGAGCTTTGCTTCATTAATGTGTCATTCATAACGACTTCTGCCTAAACACAAAATGATGAATTAAGATTAAATTAACCATAATAACTGTTTCTCAAAGAATGAAGAAGTTAATGTGAGGCTGCAGCTGTTAAATTATTGGTGCAAGGATGGCAATTTCCCCACCATAAATTCATGCAGCATGCAACTTCAGTTTTTAATCGCGGTGCTGAACACTATGAACGCTCGCAAAGATATATTTGTCTAAAATTTGTTCCACTTTGACGTTAGCAACTATGTCTGCTGCAGACTTCAAATATGCCTTATGTGATGCTATGATTAAGAATTGTAGGCTCTAAAAAGAATAAAACGCAAAACCTAAATTTAATGATAAATCTCTCGTATACATGCGCTGAGACTATAAAGGTACCTGATTCGGTTTAAATTCAATCAATCAGAAAAAAAATATCCTCACCCCACGAAAATGAATTATCGGTATTTTCAAGGTAACTAAACTCGCTTCTCTTTAAATCTCTTGCATACCAATTTGGTCGTTCTCAGGGTGAAGAGAACTAATATACATTAGTATTTGAGTTTGACAAGTTGATTCGACATGCTGACTATTCCAAATTATTTTTGACTTCTGAAATATTGATTAAAAAATATACACTAAATTTTGGGCTATTTACCTATCTAAAATTAAGGTATACCGAAGTGGTTAAAGTCGCAGAGTGAAAGTGTTTTCAAGAGTTTTTTTTATGCCCATAACAAAATAAAATTATCTTTGATAGCCATCGAAACCTGAAATGTTTTGCAGTGTAATAAATGTTTGACGGAAATGTTCTATAATTGGAATTCACTGGTTTTTCATCTTAGCTTAATACCCCCTAAGATTTCGGAAATCGTTTTTCCTTCAGGCCACTGAAATTTAGACAAGGTCAGAAAAGGTGATCGATGGAGAGGATTTTTAGATTTTTCCTTTACTGCAAAAGACATTTTGTATAAATGCAAATCGTTATCGTTGTTTTCATGTCAAAAAGGGGATTTCTAAATGTTTAAAAAGATAGTTCCGGTTATAGATGATGATGTTGTGGTTTTGTTTGAGCTAATGAACTTGATTGATGATTGCATTTCCAAGGTCTTCCCTTCATTTTCAAGAAATTGTTTTTGAAAAATAGCAAAGGAAATTTTCGCATTTGTTAGTAGTTTTCAAGTCAACTGATTTATGAAAAGCTATGGCCATTGCCACAGGGACAACAAGGGTTTCGAATAATTTCGACAAACTGCAAAAATTTCTTTCTGACAATATAAAGTGCATTTTTCGATAAGAGTTACTTTCGTAAACGAAGACGTGAAAGTTAATATCATCATCTTAGTGCGCAAAATTTTAAGGGTAGAAGGGTGCGAATAATGAGAAACTGGCAAAAAATCTTTTTTTGTGTGATCCTTGCTAAGCTTCAGGAATATACAAGACACTACCGATAGAAACTAAAGGGGCACATCTTTCGCATTTTAAACTACACCTTAGGCAATGAAGGGTCCATTCATCTTAGCTGTATGCTATCGCTCACAGTTTTGATTGATTTTGTTATTACGTTCATGAATATGAAAGCTGAGAGTCCTTTGTGTAACTGATCACGAAGACTTGATGAATGTTATTTTACATTCTCACCAATCGCAAAACTTCTGAAAATTAGCGATAAAGTAGTAGATTCCCGAGTTGAAAATAAACATCTTCCTGCCAAGATATATTCGAAAGGGCTACCATTTTAAATCGCTATGAATTCACGTCTTATTCATATATTTGAAAATTTACCCTTCACCACAAACTGAATGTCTTTATCTGATTGGCTAAATCATGGACTTAGAACACCATGTGTTCTCCAAAAAGCATGAGACAAGAAATGGAAATTGACTGATAATTTGAGAGAACAGTTCAAGTGAACATGGCACACTGTATCCGGTGCTTCCAAGGACTTTTTTCGCTCCTTGTAGTCGAGAACTTTAAAATAAAATTTTCTAATACATCTCTCTTAAAGAATAGATTATAAAGTAAATATGGAAGCGAGCTTCGCAGTAATGAACACTACTCAAGTAGTAGTGAAAATAAGGCCTGAAAAAAATTTAGGCCTGTACGGGATTTGAACCTATGACCTCTACGATATCGAAAGAAACCCCATGGGTTTAACTGGAACCAACATAATGGCCAGCTCCCAATTGTCTTGTCAGCTCAGTAGGTAGAGTACTGCGAAGATCGCTTCCACGCATATTTCTTTAACGGCAGTTCACAGTATGATTTTCATATATTTAAAGTCATTTAAAAATGAATGTCTGCCACTTGTGAGATTTTAAAAATTCTGTCCGATTTTTGAATCAAAATATGTCTCGCATGTTCTCTATTGACCTCTCACTATGGCTATTGTGCAATTGCGTGATAAACCTGGGTTTTGCCTTACCTTTCTTGATACTTCACAGTATGGGTTGTTTAACAGGATGTCACCTTCGTTCACACCTATATTCCGATACTTTTTTCCACGATTTACGGTTTTCCTTTGCCGCGCCAAAATTTTTCTGTTAATTGCACCAAGGTGGATGGCACTTTTTATTCATATTCAGATCCAAGAGCTCCTTGAAAATGAATCTATGCAAATGTTCATCTTTAGCTTTTATGATGTTGATCACTTTCTATGAGACAAATTGATAATCAGCCTCTCGTCATAATAGAACTCTCACAAAGACTGCCGCGTTGGCCAAGTCGCCGCAAAATAATCTCCCTTTATAATAACAGAATGGCAATTTTAGGGTAGAATTCCTTTAAGTTGTTCAAGTGTGCGAGTAATCAATGAAAGCCGAACATATACTTTTTATAACAGAGGACAAATATGCCTGTGCCATTTTCATATTTTAAATGACCCCTACAATGCACTGTATTGCCACTTTCTGTTATGGCCCGAGGGCATAATAAAACAATTATACGATAAGATTTGTAGCCATACGCATAAATTACATAAAGTTACATTTATTTATTATTTTCTGTAAGTTCTTTCCGTGGCATAGTCCTTAGCTTGTGTTGCTTGGCAACGAACAAAGGTAAACGTAAGAAAACATGAAATATTACCATAAAGTAAATGAAGTATTATCTGCTTCCATCTTTCAGTTTCTGTTCTCGGTTGAAATGTTGGCGGAAGCTAAAACATAGATTGCAAATTGATGGATCCTAACAAAATATACTATTTCAATCTTAAAGCAGTTGTTTGTGAAACTGTAACACGGCTCTAGATATAGCAGTACTGTTGGAGAAGATGCCAACAGATGGAAGAAATTTGAAGTGCATTACAGAAGTTGCGCATTTTTTGCGCAGGTTTTTAATTTCAGTTGGGAAAATATTTCTGTTGGCGACCAGCTTGTTTTCCATTCCATATTGTTTACATCTTTTTTCGGAGTTGTCAACCTGACAATTTCCTTTTCTCGTGATATTCCCGAAGTCAAAAGGCGATCACACTTAGCCATTTTTCTCCTCGATATTTTTCATTTAGATAGTTTTCTTACGGTCGCAAAGAAGTAAAAATTTCCAATTTTTTTTAATGGAATTATTCTACATGGTGGTTATGTCACAAAAATTTAAAAAATATTTAATTCCAAAAATAATGTCAATCACATTTTGACGGTCATCCAAAGCTACGTTGGTAGGATAACGAGGCCGAGTTAAAAACTATCCATCCTTCTTAATATTTTATAATGTACGAAGTCGTGATTAGTTCAGCCATTAGCATTTGCCACCGTGAGAAGGGGCCACATGCAGTTCATGATCAGTGAAAAAAGTTTTTGACAGTCACCCGAGTTTACAATGTAAGGACAACAAGAGTGATCTTAAAACCTCGTATCTTTCTCATTTTGTTTTCTCACGCGACGATATCGACATTGCTGATCCTAGCTGTCTGCGAAACGCTTGTAACATACTAGTTATGTCCCGTTGCATTATGAGGTTCTTTAAAACTCATTGGTAGAGCATCGAAGCGCTAACTGATCTAAACGTCTGAGGTGCGTTTCAGCAAATGGGTTTCAGACTTTTTCTTTGTCCCATGGTCGGACAAAACGAAAAACATTATATTTTGCAAAAGAGGATCTTAATTACGTCTCTCGGATTCTCAGATCGTTGTAATTTGACCTACCTAATCTCCTGAAATCAAATGTCACCACAGTTTTGCGAATGTTAGAAAGTTATTGTCTTCTTGGACGTTATAATTAGTACTTGACAAGGCCGTATATCAGATGTAAGCTTGTGTTTAAGACCATATTATATTTTTAATGTTTTTTCCTAAGGGAAACGGTTCCCCCCCTCTGAGGGTCTCAATATTGCTCCTTAGAAAGTCGAGGAAAACAAAGACTCGAAGTTAAATAAATTGAAATAACTCTTTCCCTCGAGAACATAAAAATATATAACGAGATATTTCAAACAATCAGATGAAAAACAAACAAACCTTCAATAAACGGGCGTTAAAAAGGAAAAAACTTTCTTCCTTAGAAGAATACAAAATGGATCCAAGCAAACGACTCTAAAATGTTGTGTTTCGTCCTCTATGTTTGCTTGATCATTTTCGTCGGATGTCTTTGGATAGATTAGAAAATTGTATGAAGTTTATACACTGTTACGTTGCTTTCAAGCTAACTTTGTTGATGGTAGGCCAAAGACAAGGGCGATGTATACAAAATAACCGGTGGTTTCATTCTCTGGGATAAAAGACGCCAACAAATAAATATTGAAAAGAGACTGAAGCTCCAGACCTCACAAACAAATTTTCAATACGTCAATTAAATTAACAAAAACACGAACATGAATAATTTCCCTAGCAAGTTTAATCAATTTAACAATTTTCTTTCCCTGAAATATTTGTGGGGAAATTTGAATTGTATCGCTGATTACATTCTGGCATTGAAATTTTTACAACTAAGAAACTTACAAAATACTGCAGAATAAAGCTTATCAAGTCACCAAATTTATTAGTCTCAATGAACGTTACAACAAGGAGGTTATATCAAATATGGAAATTATAATGGTGTTTCAGTGAGCGATGGTTTTGTCAACCTAAGCATTTGTCATTAGAACACCCAAAAAAATCGCGAATATCAATATTGCATTCGATAGCCTCCAGCATCTGAAAAATGGTGGAAAATTAGTAAACGAAGGATGCGTTATTCCCACTCGCTACACATACTTGCCTCAGATGTACACAATTTTAAATTCAAAACAGTTTTGTGGTTAGTTGAGCAAGTACAGGTGAGTCAAGGGAAGAACCTTCCAGAAACTCCCAGATTTCGTATCTTTGATATTGTTTCGATGTCTTAAAAAAGGCGCTAAATATCTGTTTAAAAACTTTTGGCGCAAATCTTAACGAGCCCTATTGTATTTTTTTCCCGGTCGCCGATTTTGAACATTACGCATGCCTACCTTTAAGCTTTAACATTCTAACTAATTAAGCGCAACTGTTGCTAGACGAGAAAGCAAACGTTAAAGGGTTTTCATTTAAAAATGTTAGATGTCCGGCGCCATACTCTGTGGTAGCACTGACACCTGACACTGCCGGAGTCTTTTCATGCTTTTCTTTGTAGATTTCATCATAATGCTAAAAGCTGTGCCATACCTTAAAAACAAAACTATCAAGGAGATACTTTCTAATTGCTTTTTGAAGGAAATAAAATGTACGCTGAACGCGTAGTGCCCAAAACTTATCTTAGCAAATAGGTATAATTTCAAACTTTCCCTATCAATACAACCGTCTTTAGAATTTTGTTGCCGCTTCTAGGCAGGGATGTCTTAAGTTTCGCATCTGTATTGATCTCGAGTGAACTTTCTATATGTATCTAATTGCCAAATGTCAATAGCTACTCTGAGACCCAACATGACGTCAATCAATTTAAGTAACAAAAGATTTATATTGTGCAGCCCACACAGAATTCACTTAAAAACTTTATACCACACGAGAAATTTGTAACATATCTTTAGCTATCCCTTTTCCCTTTCACGGTCTATGAGGCTCTTCCTCCACAGTTTAGGAAGCTTTTTCAATCACTCTTTCGTTGACTTTCGTATAAGCAAGAAACCCGAAAGGCTTGTTGTTAATCTAATCAGTTCATGAGTGGGTGTGTTGTTTCCTCGCTATGGGCTTTCTTCAATTCGATGTGCCCTCTTTCGCGAAATTAGTCTGAATAAAATGAACGGAGAATGAATGAAATTTTTTCCCGTGACTATAACGATCTTTACATGAAACACAAAATACACGAAATGTTCAGAACTAGATATCCTCTTTGATTTGAAAGCAGTGAAAACAGTTGACAGAAAGAAATAGTCGTATTCGGTTGTCTTACTACGTATTAGAACTCTATGTATTCAGTCGTCGTTGTTATTATCTTTCAGACCATGAAAGTGTTTGCTTTTTTGTTTCTTCTCTATTTGCTTGGGTGACCTCTTTTTCCATTGAAATACCAGCTCAAGGGATGTAATTTAACAAACAGAAAAACCAAACTCAATTGAAAGGTTTCAATATTGACTTTGGAACGTTTTTCATTTCAACTATTTGAATAGCCTAAGCTTTTTTATTTACCCAAGTGAAAGGTGTTTTTGGATTTTCTCTTTTAGACTTCCATAATCACAGGAACTTGATATCCCAACCTTTGCATTAGCATTCTCAATAATTTCACCCGTATTATTTAATACTTCCTTCGATAGTTCAAAAGTATTGCAAAACAATAAAGGTGGATTTGCTAATAATAAGGGCTTGGAAATTTTTGACACCAATTGCGGTTCCGATTCATTTCGACGGATACTTTGTCTCATTTTCAAAAAGTTAGTTGTGTGCTCAAAACGAAGGAAATAAGAGAGAGAGAGAGAGAGGGAAAGAGATTGAATATGCCCTACAAAAACTGAATAATGACCCTCACTCCTGACTCGTGGAACAAACATGATTTTCCACGAAGCGAAAAGTACCTTTTTGACAATATAGAGAGCTAAAATAGATTTCGAAATTTGTTCACCGCTGAGCTGCAGCGTAGCAAGATTTACTGATTTAAATTTACGAAAACGAACAAAAAAAGGAATAATAAACCACAGAGTGAGCTAATAAATACGATAAATAATTTGCATGTCTTAAATAAAAACAGGATAAGGCTTACCGACACACAGAACTTCATTTTCAGTTTGAGGCGTATGGTAAAAGGATATTTTAAATCGCAAATTCAGTGATATCAAGAAGACACAATTGTTGATGATGAATCTGAGCAAAGCCATTCAAATCCGGAAGGTGTGCATTTGTTAGCTTGTATCGATTTATTTTCAACCAGTGAAATTCTTCTTAAGTGACAATGGCGTACCTCAAATCAGTTTTGCCAGCCTGTATCCTTTTTTTTACTCTAATTGTGCATCTGACTTGTACATGACCCTTGATTTATAAACTTGAATAACAGGAAACGAAATGAAACACAATAATTTGCACTCACCAGGCGAAAATCGTGTTTTGCTCGCTCACGTATTCTAGAAGGTTTTTAATTCCGGTCTTGTTTCTTTCAACACTCTGCTTCACAAAGAAAATAATAACCGTTTCGAACTAATGACGTTAGTCTTATTGTATGATTCCAGTTACCACCTCCGAACAATTAACATCTATATTTGCATTTTGAAATTCAAAGTGCTAAAAGTTATCAGCTTTAAATCCATAGTCCGAGTACAGCTTTATTGCGCCAATTAAACCAAGTCCTAAAGGGAAGACGCGGTTACATATATCTGACTGTTAAGTGCCAGTTCATTTAAAAGCCAAGAAGTGATAATTCAAGAAAAACGTAATAATAATCAGAATAAAGCCCAGGTGATACCTATCTACAAATCAAAAGGCACATAGTAGGTATTTTTATGACAAAAAAATTGTCGTTGGAGTAATTAGTATTCATACAAATCGCAGCAGTTGACCGATACGTCATCTCCTATATCTTTTTGATTTGATGACTTGAAATAAATATGAAAAAAATACTTAGAAAGTCACAAGTGTGTTCTCGGAATTTATTTGAAATTGAGCTTCGTCGCAACGAATTCTAAACTCTTAAATTGAAGATTTATCACCCAAACAAGCAGCTGACTAAATGATCAAAATAAGAATAGTAGAAAACTCTTGCCTTTGGATTGTTGGTAAACTATTGCCCTTTAAAAAGATAAGGAAGGTAAAAATTCACATGTGAATACTTTTTTTTCGGTAAATTTAAGGCCCCATTTAATGTAACGGGAATAAAGGATAACTGTAAGAAATTTCATGATCCCATTTGTTGTCTAATCTGTCATTTCATTGGTCTATGACAAACTATTCGAAGAGCGATTCTCAGAAGATGCGCTGCTCGAAAAAGTTGTATATTATTTAAATTATTTAACATGCTATCGCATGTATTTGGCTGAATTCCGAAAA